TTGACTAAATTATGTCATCCATTATTGGATTCTACCATTTAGAGGGTTTCTTTTAGAGTTATGCTTTGTTTGTTTTTCTTTAAAGTAACTTTTTGAGTTATCTTGTTTCACACTGTTTATTTTGCAGACTCTTTCTTTATGTAGATAAGTTTGTAAATTAGATTAAGTTTATTCTTGTTTCTCTGTTTAGACTGTTCTTTTTTTACCTGTTTAATTAAGGCTTGGTCTAATCAAGTGCAGGTGTGTTGCCACTTGATTATATAAACCCTGAGCTCTTGGAAGCTCGAGGAGAAATGTTTTGTCTAAGAGAAAAGGAATAAAAGACAACAGAGAAACTGGAACCGGTGGCTGAAGCTGTTTTTTTTTTTTGGTTCACCTTAATGATCCCTCGACCGAACTACTTTACATATATATATACATATATATATATATGTATATATATATATATATATGTATATATATATATATATGTAAAGCTTTACATTTGTTTTAAAAAATATAGTTGCAACTTTTTTTTATTATTTCAAATAAAAGAATAGCGTGATCCGCATCCAGCCCATCTTGAGCCTGGTTCTCACCAAGATTTCCTCGTTTTAAAAGGAAGCTGTTCCTCCTATCTCCTACTTCTTTGGTTGAGGGACTGCCAAAAAGGAAAGGATAAAATTATATTCCTCTGAATATTTTATCATCTGTATAGAATTATATTTGGATGGGACTGTTTTCAAATAGATTTAAATACAACTCTGATTATTGAATTAAACTATAATAAAAGGAATGAATGTGATTGCATATTGTAATGTGAAGTGTTTCTGGATATCCTTACATGTAAATAGGTGATTTAAGCCAAAAAAAAAAAAACTAACTATTTAACATCGGGTCTTAAGATTTACTGTAAGGTTTTTATTTACATTTTACACAGAATAAGCAGCATCTTATTTTTCCTCATCTAGTGCCAAGGATCCTAAACAAGAATATCTCAAAAACAGTTTTTTATGCATGCGGAATGAGTATTTTATTCATAACCAGTTTATAAAAATAAAATACAAAATAATTCTAAAACAAAAAGAAAAGAAACACTGTACAAGGCATTTATATGATACAAATAAAATATCAAACATAAATAATTACAGGTATATACAATGTAAAACTCCCACTTTTTTCCTTGAAGCTGTACATTAATATTTCAAAACCATGATGTACACTACAACAGAAAAAAATAATTAAAGCTATATATAAATATAAAAAAAAAAAAGATTCTTGATGTTTTTTATTCAAAATAACTATGGAGCGAGTGTCACAATAATTAAATTCAAGTCAAGCATTTATAAGTTATTGACAAGTATTTCAATGCTATGGCATGAGCAGCCTATTATTGTATTACATTTTTCAAGAAGAAAGGAAACAAAAAAACGGAACAGATCATTTTTTTCTTTTGGTCTGTGTGTAATGAAGCACTAACAGCAAAAAACAAACGGCTTAGGTAAATATCACACCTCTCTACCTGTGGAGCTTTCAAAACTGGCGAAGGGATTCTAACCTGGACAGAAACACTAACACTACAACTACACACACCACATCCACGTATTCATCATAAAAACCATGAGGAAATCTGATTATCATAGAAAACCAGCAGCATTGTTCAGCATCTGTTCCCCTTTCTCTCTTTGAAGCATATAAATTATTGTTTTTCTTCACAACGCTGTTTTTTATATTTACATATGACTGAATATCTTGCAGTTGTTTATTAAAAGTTTGTGTAATGATTTTGAAAAGGGGACAATATCCTGATGTCTGTGAGTTTATGTGGGACAGTTCAAAGATTTGACGTTAAAATAAAATAGAATTGCTTAACCCTGCTTACACCACTACAAATGCCCTGGAGTTTCACTGGATATTTAACTATTTTTTTTGTCTAATTTGTGAAATACCTGCATTTTAGGGTGGTTGACGGTGCATTCAATAGTTTGACATTTTTTCTGCACTCCAGCGAATTAGCACGTTTCATTTATAGAAAGAACAAAAAGGAGGAATTCTCAGGTTTTGCTCTAGTTGTGAATAAAAACTCCAGAACAGACAAGGCTCAGTCATCCCTCACTATATGCACAGAGGGGCAGGGGAGAGGCATTAAGGCTGTTCTGACTGAACGCTGTCCGCCTTCAGGATGAGTCATCAGAAGTGCTCGATTCAAAGTAGGCTAATCTGTTTACACGCCGCATTTCAGCTTAAATCATCAAACCCATAAAAGTTTTTGGTAATATCAGTGTTCACTGGTCTAATGCACAGTAGCGCCCCAACAAACATCCCGTAACAAAGGATTGCAGCATTTCCCTCCATTCTGTGCTCCACATAGAGAGGTACATATCATTATATACAGTGCCTTGCAAAAATATGTATACTAATTTAACCTTTTCTCACTTTGTCAAGGGTTTAGGATTATGTGCAGAAAATATCAGGTTTAATTTATCGAGCAGATTTATAATAAAAAGAGGGTTAAAAAAAACAAACAATGAAAAAAAAACAACCATGGCAGCACCTTTCATGGCAGCAAGGCCTTGGACAACGCGTCCCCCCCTCTGACTGGCCATGCCAAAACTGAATTTCCCTTTAGGATTAATAAAGTATTATTGAATTGAAAGATGGTGGCAGCATCATGCTGTGGTTTTTTTTTTTTTTTTAATGGTTTGATAGAAGTAAGGAGCAGAATCTAGAGCAACCAGGATGGCGGACCAGGTCTTCAAGGTCTATTCATATGTTAAAATGGTCCAATCAACCTAAATCCGATTAAGAATTTGTAGAGACTTGACGAAATGTACATTAATTCACTCTCCCTCCATCTAAACTCTCCCCTTAAGGGATGTCAATAAAAATCCCCAGATGTGGGAGACATAATCCAAAACACCTGTAGCTTTAAAGAATAGTGGGTCTATGCAGTAACAACACAGCTTATATTTTTTTACCATTTTAATTGCAGAGATATTGAATTTTTTTCCTTCCACATCAAAGTCATGCACTACTTTCTTAAATGTAGACAAAATCCCAGCAAAACACATGACAGTTTGTGGCTGTGACGAAGCAAAATGTGAAAAGGTTTGACATGTGTCGTTATTTTTACAAGGCACTGTAGCTGCAACACAATCAACCCAGATAAGAACAGAAAGCGAAAAGACGGAGTCACAGGAATTCAGTTTGTTTACTTGTCAAGGTAATGTCCTTCTCATTGGGTTAAAAGAGAAACATGTGAAGCAAAGTGGTGTGAAGCTTGTTACTCAGAAGCTGGTATATCCGTATGTTTTTCCCCGGCATGCAGTGTAGCAGATGAAGGAAGCTGAAGTAAGTTAGCAGTATAATACAAGCAGAGGGGCTGGAGGATGCTGAGAAAGGCTTACAGAGGAGATAAAACTGGAATAACAGCAAGAACTGGTCATTGCAGGATATACAAACTATTTTGACCTTAAAGCATTGTTTTGTTTATACGGCTTTGCTTTTTAGGTAATATGGGAGGCTTTTAGAGGTGGCATTTGTTTGCAGCCAAACAGTGTAAGTGCTACTTTGTTTGAAAACTACAAAATGTTTGTCTTGCTACCTTGTTTATAGAAATGAGGATTAATGAAAAGGGTTTTCTTTTAAGTGCTGGCACAAGTCTTTTTGGCCTTTTATTCCCAAATTATAAACATGTGACAGTGAATCTTTAAGCTGCCCAAAGTGCCAAGGCACATGCTGAGACAAACATTTGTGTCTGTGCATTACTCACCGGTAATGCACCTTTAGCTGTTCAGGCTACATCAACGTTTGCCACTGGAAGCAAAAGTATGATCCACCAATTCCTGCCTTGGGGATCCCAAGATAACCTCACAGCATTACAGTAGGCACAAAACAGTGCGCGTCATCACGCACTTCTCACAACTGATTGTACACAGGGCCACTGAGTGATCCCTTCGATTAAACACTGAAAACACATTTGCCCATCTAAGGGGAGAGGTTTGAGGCAGCTTTACAATGAATACAACCAATGAAATAAAAGCTTAAGACAAAGCATAGCTTAAATCTAACTATCATACCCTGCCAGTGGCCTCCAAAAGGAAAACTGGGGCAATTCTTCATCTAGTTGGAATCAGCTGCACTGCAATTTCTAAGTGCAAAAAAAATAAAAATAATATGAAGATTAAACAGCGACTCACACCAAATCAGGCATAACATCAAAACCATCTGCCTGATAGTGGATTGGTCCCCCTTTAGCTGCCAAACAGCCCATATCCATTCAGGTTTAGTCTCCACCAGACTCCTGAAAGTATGGTGAGCTATAAAGGACCAAGGTGCAAGCACATCCTGTCTGATCATCTGCTAGAAGACATCTCTGGTCCTTTGGGTCCTGCACGTCTAAAAATAGCTTGATTGCAGTCCGCTCTGAGGAAATGGGGTTAAGTCAACGCTTTTCCTAAAACAATTTTTTTCTTATTGAGCCTACGTTAACCATTCTGAAAGAGGAAAAACTCACCAGGGATAATCACCAGATGTTGTAACAACACTTAGGTAAAGACTTTGTGCCAAAGTAGCAAACATGTGGATGGGGGGGACCCAAAATCTTCTTTTCGAACATCACAAAAAGCATTATGCTTCCTCTCAAACTTGCCTTCTTCCAACAGGGAATCCTGGTGGCATATGTTCCTCAACACACAGGGGAAGCACTCCCTATAGATTCCCCTTAAAACAATTGGGAAAAATAAAAGTTTAAACACAGGTATGCATTTAGCAAAACTGGTGAAACTACCTTTTTTTAATGCCATCCTGTGCAACTGCCTATATGGGTTTTGCCAGAAATTGTACCTGTTCCCTTGGTAACCATTGAACATTCACACTGCTTTTCATGCTATCTTAAAGAAAAAGTGATCTATTAGACCAGAGCATTGCTTTATGGTCCAGTTCAGGTCCATTGTTTGATCTTTTGGCACCCAAAGGGGTACCTTGCTACTTTTCTATGAAATTTCTATGTCATCCAGATAGATCAGACTTGACGGATCATTGATTGCACCCTCATTGGACCACATTTAAATGGTGGTAACAAATGCACTTCCTGTCTACTTAATCTCACCCAGTAACAGATGCCCAGTCAGCTGATGGTGGTTATGATGTCATGCCTGATAGGAGTGTATCAATGTATTGGATAGATCCGGTTAAAGTGAGTTAAAGGCTCAACTAAGCAATTGTTCTACATTATCTTATATTCCTGCCTTCAGCATGATAAAGACAGCTTTAGTCTAAGTTATGGATCCTGATGCAGTCACGCAAAAGCTCAGGTTGAAAGATGAAATTGAAATTAAATTTTGTTAGAAAGTAGTCAAAACATTGTATAAGTCAGGCAAACCCTGTGTGCAAAAACAGAAGAAGAGTAGGATTGAACTAATAACAGAAGAGAAACACTGTTTTACTGACTGAACAGGAAGAACCAAGCTTTATTCTAAATGATGTTTGTTCTATTGTTATTTAAATCCTTATTTCCTTTGCTATGGCATTACATTATGGCGTGAAATTATCTGCTCAGCTTGCTTGAGCACTTGCCCTCTCTGCTGCAGCTCTTCCCCCTGGACAGGTGCAGTGGGCTTGTGCGCACCTGCCGACTGCAACACATCTCCTGGTGGTGGAGGTAGAAGCGACGGGGAGGCGGAGACCCTGAAAAGCTGGGAGGCGAGTGGCTCCGACCCAGAAAGCCACTGCCGCCCCCTCCGCCCCGGTGCTCGTGGCGGGAAGGCGAGGAGCTGACAGAACGCTGCAGAGAGGAGGAGCTGCGAGGCGAGGCGCTGGAGCTGCGGTGGTGGTGGTGGTGTGGGGAACTGGTCAGACTGCAGACACCCGTCCTGAAGGCTGCATGCTGGCCTGAGGAGCGGTGATGTACGGGGGAGCCACGGGAACCGTGCATCAGCTGAGCGATGCATGAAAGGAGGTCCGAGTCACTGTTGCTGCCAGTCCGGATGCGGTAGCGCCTGAGTCTTAAGGGGAGAAAAAATGAGGGTGCAATATGTTAAGAACAGTAGGTTATAGACTTCCCTGAAGGGCCTCAAAAGGAGCCATTTATCGCAGTTTTAACAACAATTCTGGATCTTCCTGAATCCTGAATCATAATCTTGGATATCTCTTATACATTAGTTCAAAAGAGAGCTTGCCAGTGTTGGGGGCGGGGCTTAAAATAATTCTGTCAAAAGTCTGCTGCAGCTTCCACCACACTGGACCACAACGAATATTATTTCTCAACAATGAGAAACAATGATGTCTATGATGATGTTTTAGTACTTTTTCCAAATAAAAATCGAAAGAAGTGCTCCATTCATTTGCATACAGCCCACAGATTCAGAGAGCCACTTAAGGTGTGTGAATGTTTTGGACTCCATGTATGAACCTTATCGATTCTTCTTCTTCAAAAAGGGTTTTTCTTTATGTGAAAGTTTCATAAAAGCCAAATCAATAAGGTGTCTCACTAGTAGTTCAACACCTCATCAAAGCAGAGCTGTGGATACCTGCAGCTTCTCCATACAGTAAGCATATTTGTTGCCACTTTAATCAATGTTTTTCTTCTCTATGTCTCTAATGCTTTAATTTGTGCCACTATTAGAATTGAACAGTGCTCTGTGCAGGAAGAATGTTTCAGAATTCATAACTGCCACGTTCATTGGTCTTCATGATGCTGCTTAGTCATTTTGGTCCTCTAATGCAGGCATCCCCAACCTCGGTCCTCGAGGCCCGCTGTCCTGCAGGTTTTAGAGGTTTCTCAGCTTTAGCACAGCTGATTATAATGATTGCAGTAGACCAAAAGACTGTTAATCAGCTTTCCATTAAAATCAGCTGTGCTGGAGCAAGGAAACCTCTAAAACCTGCTGGACAGCGGTCCTCGAGGACCGGGTTTGGGAATGCCTGCTCTAATGAATCTCCCGAGGCCTTCACAAAACAACTGCATTTATTGTGAGATCAAAGAATACCCAGTCTGCAGAAAACTGAATTCTAAGTTAGACATTTTTTTCTTAAAATAAATGAATTGAGCAGGTAAGTGAGATATTTGCAAATGAAACAAGACTTTTACATTTTACAGTCTCTTGTTTCAGGGGCATTCTACCAAATTAGCTAATTTTAAGGGTGAAAATGCTCATTCCATTGACATAATACCTATTTAACTACTAAAATTGAGGATAAATACACTTATTTTAAGACTTTTTCAGATCATATTTGGAGTGTAGGTGGAAAATTCATGCTTTACTTTTTTAAGTAATTGTTAAAAATATTGAAAACATGTATCTTTCTACCTAAAATTTAAACTAGCATTTGCATTGGTAGACAACAAAATCACACTAAAAACACAGATGTTTGGTTGAAATAAGACCAAATATTGAAAAAATAAACATATTCGTCTTCTTTTACAAGGCAGTGTACACTGTTTGTAAAAAATGTGAGGTATTGTTACCTGCCCTCCGCCATGGCACGACACGGTGGCTTTCCGGGGGGTGGGCGAGGCAGGAACTGGGTAGTCAGCTGCTCTGCAGACGTGGCTGAATGAATAGGACGTGGAATCCTGCTTTTCCTAGAAAGGGGACTGGAGGAGGAGGATAGAGATCGAGCATCATCACCTTGACGGTCAGAGCCCATTAGAGAGTCCTCATCCTGAGAGCGGTCAGAAGTGGATGACAGAGGATCCCTGACGAGGGAGGCAACAACGGCACCACGTCGGTCAGAGAGGGACGGGGAGGCGTTTGGAGAGGGGGCAGGGCCTTGGTGGCTGGCCTTTTTCTGTAAAAGTTTCTCCTTGGCAGATCCAGGAGGAGGGAGCTCTAGCAGGCTAGAGGGCTCAAGCACAGGGATGCGACTTTGCCTGCGGCTGGGGTCTTTGCGGGCGGCAGTGGGTGAGGAGCAAGATGGGGAGAGATTCACATTGCTTCCATCTCCCTCCCTAGTCTGTGCCTCTTTGGCACATGGAGTGGAGGTCATATTATTTTCAGGGTCTTTTGGTCTTGAGAGATCTCCAGCAGCTTGGGCATTAAAACACGGTGAGAGACAGCCATTGCTAAATAGAGGGCTGCGAGGGGAGCGAGGAGAAAACTGAGGAGGCGAATGAGGCGAGTGGGGCGAGTGGGGTGAAGATGCACGGCTTGTTGGCACAGGGCTTGGAGCTTTGGTAGAAGTATCCCCGTTCACCACTGTTTCAGCCAGGGGTTCTGTTGGCGTCCCTGGGTGGGCGGACACGTGTTCCTGTTGGGAGGGAACTCCCCCAGGAAGCTCCTTGATCTGAGCTTCAGCTTCACCACGCCTCTCAAGAAGGAGGCACTGTGGAGCACTGTCTGATCCCGACTGAGAGGTCAGACCTGAAGGACGCTGAGCTGTCAGCTGGAGGGGAAGGGAGGTGAACGGGAGAAGGAAAAAAAGAAAAAAAAACAGATGTTATTCAACTGAATGCAGAACTTAAAATGGGAATAAATTTCTGATTATATAACGGTCTGTTGCTGAGACTACAACATGTGGAGTTGTGCTGTAGATCCGCAGCAAGAGCCAGATGCAGATGTGTGAACAAAGAGGAATTTGATATTAAATGATAAATAAATGGTGATTAGTTTAGCAACAGCATGCAATACCATAGCTACCATTATTCAGACCGAAACACACAAGTGCTATGGCAGTGTCAGTCAAGCTGTGAGTACTAAACCAGCAAGAAGGACAGGAAACGTTCACGCAACTTCGCAGGGGGCTTCAGCGAAGAAAGGGTGAGGAACAAATACAGGGAGAGAGAGAGGAAGAGGAAGATAGAGAGGACAAAGACGATCTGAAACAAAAGAGACCATGCAATCTGTAGTCATGACTCCACATTCCCAACACGCATGCCACAGTCAGACAAAGACACACCTCCTATTCACATGACAAGGACACATCTGAACCCATGCTCTGTCTGGCCTGCAAAATGGTTCTGGGAGAGAGCTGCACAAAAAGCCAAGCAAACTGAGCAAACTGAACAAAAAAGCCAGCAGTAACCAGCAACACAAGAGAAGAAAGAAACCAAAACTATAACAAATGTATTTTAACAGGTTTGGAGGACGCTGAGGATTTGATTGTTTCAACGGGAGGAGAGTGATGGAGATTCATCACCTGCTGAAGCTGGGCACGGGTGATGCGTATGACTGAGGGGAACTTGGTGTTGGCAGCACCAGCGGGGATGGCTGGCAGTTTCCTACGACTGGGCGAGCGAACGCCAGGGGAGGGGTTTGTAGGTAGAGGTAGGGAGGCATGGCAGGAGGAAGAAGAGGACGGGCGGTCCTGCTGCGGCTGCTGGTCGGCAGACTGGCTGCGCCTCAAGCCTGCTGAGTGCCGCTGGTGCAGCGGGTCCGACAACGTGGTCAGGAGGGTGTGAGGACTGGGAGAACGCAGTGGGATGGGGCTAGATGTCCGGGCCAAGACCTCCTCGGGTAGAGACGGAGGAGAGGTGGGGAGCTAAGGGAGGGGAGGTGGAGAAAGGAGGGACTGTAAGATTGATGAGGGTGTGTGAATATGTAGGTGGAGGTTTTGTGAGGTAGAACAAACTGCTCTGAGTGGGAGTATGACGAGTTGTTTTTTTGTTTGTTTTTTCAAAAAATGTACAGGATGGGTGAGGTGAAGAAGCAGCTCTAGGTTAAGGGGATATGCAAACATTTAAATTAAATCTGTAAAGGTGAAGAAAAATGGCAATAGCTTCTTACAGTGTGTTGCAAAAGTATTGAAATGCATTCTGTTTCCATAATATTCAACTGGACTGTATTTTAATGGAATTTTAAGTAATAATCCAAGGTCTTATATTATTTCTTGTTTTTTTTATCTAATAAAAACAGAATAATGGCTAACATTTGAATTTAGCTCAGAAATTCATAACAAAAACCTGCAAACATGATTTCTTTTAGCTTTTTTTTTTTAAAACAGCGGCTTTCATCTTCTCACTTTTGCTCAATTGTCAAATAAGTAAACATTGTCTGGTGTCTTCAGCCGGGAGTGTGGATCTCTATAACTCCTCCTGACTAATTATGTGCTGATAAATACTCTCCACCCCGGTCTGTCAGTTTAGCCATGTGTTGATATGTCTAAGTATATGATAAAATGAACAGTGCTTCATGAGATCTTTATAGTGTATGATAGCCTTTTAAAACCTTTAGAAGAAAAGTGTTGCATTGAATTTTAGTATCGAAGGTATAATTATGAAGGGGAATTGAATGCATTAAATCAGAATTAAAGGCACACTATGCAACATTTTTCAGTTAATTAGTGTGTTCAATAACGTTTTGGATGATTAAATGAGACATTTCAGGTTGAACAAAGGTATTCTCGGCCGCCCTGGTGGTCTGTGGGGGAAATACTGCACTTGCAACTGCAGGAGCACCGACCCGCACCCACAGGCTCAGAAGTCTCGCGAGAGTCGGTCTTGCTTTACGGCGAGAACTGCTACACCCCCCAGTTAAAAGCATTCTCGTTGCTAGCACAGTGGCGATCAATAAATCCAGAAAGACAGTACTTAAAATCATGTCATCTTATCTTCAACAAACTGGACTAAACCTAAGGATTTAAGGTAACATAAATAAGATCAAGAAGGTGGCGATAATGCTCCATTTGGTTGCAAGTCGCCAGTAAAACAGAAGACAGTGGCGATCTTTGTGCAGTGCTGCTTTCACACCGGACGCTGCAAAATTGCGTCTGCTGCTTCATTTTTGCTGCTTGTACCAGTTAGTTCTGACACGCGGCTGAAGCAGCTTTGCTGAGCTTCACTATCCTTTCTCTGCCTTGCAGCTATATTTGCTGTGATCAGTGGGAATACAGTAGTTTTAATATGTTTTTAAGTGAGAAAATACACCTGAAACCGTAATCAGTGCCGTCAGTTCATTCAGATTATCATCCTGTCTTACAATATTTTTTCTGTCGGAGCCGCTCAGACCCCCACATACCAGCGGTGCGCCGACAGTAGGAATCCCTTCATCAGCAGCCTCTGGCCGGGTCGCCTCCTCGCGGTTCACCGCGGCAGCTGGCAGGTGTTTTTCATCTAAATAATCCAAACTGCAGGCAGCAGGATAATAAAAGCGAACATATTCTGCCGGCAGATGTATGCATTTTAAGTTAATTTAGGCGTCAATAAACTGTTTAAGAGGAGTGATCATCAGCGCTGTGTCTCTCTCCCTGCCAGCTCCCAGATCAGCTTCTCTGATTGGTTGACGCGGCGCGTTGAGCAGCAAAAATTCAATTTTTCCATCTCGAGCAGCAACGCGTTTGCGGCGCGTCAGATGCTTAGTCATTCGTTGCGTTCGCCTGTCTGCTAAGCTCAAAACAACCGCGCCTGGCTTGACGGAGAAACCAGGAGAACAGCTGAGCATATTTACGACAGTGCACTTTTACTTTCGCCCTCTGGGGGGAGCCTCGCTGGAAAATCAACACCGGTTGCATAGTGTACCTTTAAATAAAGTGAAGTCCTTGGTTGGGAAAAGACATAAAATCAAGGAGGGTTGATTCCTTTTGCAAGGCACTGGAAGAGTTAAAAGTTTGATCATAGGTTGAAAATAAATGTAGCACTAAACAAAATGGGCTACTGTACGAGTGTGAATAGCAAAACAGCAAAGATATTTAGCTTAGGAAATCAAAAAAAGCTTTTTCTAAAGCAAAATAAGAGATAAAATTGTGCAAACAAAGTAAAGTTTTACAACTAATCCAAATAAAGCAGAATTTAAAACCATTTAATAAGCTCTCTTTTCCCATGCTGCGACCTGATTAAAGCACCTAAAGTTGGGTTGTATCTTTTTTCTAATAATGTAAACAGGTGAAGGAGCAAGCAAACACAAAGCAGTAACATTTACCTTCAGACTATAGCAAGATGCAGCTGGTGGAACACTGATTGTTGTATGATAAAAGCATTGAAGTTCTATACCTAGAACTCTGACTCTGCAGCTTTTTAACTTTGTAAAATGCTGACTATGGTCATCATTATGCTTGCCATGTTATAAGTGCTCTTTAAATAAAGGGGCTTACCTGAGTGAGGACTCCCTCGGCCAGAGCTTCAGCTGGGCTGGTTGGCGTTATAGGAGGCAGAGCCCCCACAGGGCCCACACTCAGCTCCAACTTGTCCACTTTTGTACTTCCTTTGGAAGAAGCCGCACTTTCTTGCTTAGCTTTGCCAGAGTTAGGGCTTGGGCTTACGTTTTCCCATCCAGGTGACGCTTCCTCTGGTTGAAGCACCTCTGGCTCTTCATCCTCCTCTGAAGGGATGGATGTAGCTTTAGCTCCAGGGGAGCCACTCGGTCGCTCCACTATTACCCACTCTCTTGAGTCAATTTCCTGCCTCCCGGAGCTAAGATTAAGAGCCACGAAGCCACCACTGCTGACCGCCCCCTCTCCCTGCTCAAAAGACCCGGGTGAAGCTTGTTTAGGAGAAGCAGCTCCAGACAGGAACTCCTCGTCGTAGTGCCACACCCTATCAGGACGCTCCACAGCGGGTACAGCTGCTGGGACAATAGTAGCCTCCTTTCCCTGGCGCTGGACACCAAACTGTTGTTTTCCTGAACTAAAGGACATATGCAAAAAAAAAACAAAAAACTCCTTTTTAACCCAAAGGATTAAAAAAAAGCACAAAAGAGCTAATTATGAACAAGGTTACCAGTTATCCAGGGGCCGCTCTGGACTAGACTTTGACTCCAGGCTCAGCCTCCTCTCCAGCTCCAAGCTGTGGATGTTACGCAGCTTTCTCAGCAGAGGTCCATCTCGATCTGCAGCAACTCCCTCTGAGTGCAGTTTGACAGGAGAGCCCAAACTTAATCCTGCGTAGGGGCTCTGGTGTCCTTGTTTGCCCTGGTTGTTGCTTTGTTCCTCCTCTGCCGCAGCCTGTGGAACCAAGACATGTTTTGGGGGTTTTGAATACTTTTCAAATCCAGCATTTAGATGCAAACATGTCCCTCATTTGTCAGACAATCCCTTATCATGTTCCAACCTCAAACTTTACTTGATTGAAAGAAAAGCATAGTTAGTCAAGAACTCCAGAAACATTTTCCAAGAAGAAAGCCTTTACTGTGATAAAGACAAAAATAAATCCTGTTTGTGATTTGCAGTAAGCCAAGTCAGGGATGAAATAATATGTAGAAGAGAGACCAAACTCTAAACTCTATATAGAAAACACAACATAGCTATCATGCTGAGCTGATGCTTTTTTTTATCTAGGGAGATAGATGGATCCAACTACAGGGGACCCTACCATAAAACACAGACAAAAATATAAATGAAAGGTTTACCCAACTTAAAGCCAGACTAGGTTAGATTAAAATGATGGGGTCCTTCAGATGCTTATATATAAGGGCTTATGATGAACAGCCCCCATCTCACTAAAACTACATTTAATGAAATGCACTTGAACAAAGAATGCTATAAGACTCCTACTGATTTATATTATGTCCCCATTGAAGGAGGAGACTTTGCAGAGGGAGCATTTACTGAGCAGAAATGCAGACCACACTTTTCAGATTCCAATCTGTAAAAAATTAAAAATAAAATACTAATACTTAAAAAAAAACATCAGAATAACATGCTATATTGTCTCAGTTTATCATATTAAATACATTAATAGTTGTGGAAGTAACGTTATAAACTGTATGAGCTCTCTTGCATGGTACTGTATGCAGTTTACCTTCCAGTGTCCTGTCCTGATCCTGTTCCGGTTCCGGTCAAGCTCTTCCCAGACGTCAGCCTCCTGGTTGCGATGCTGGTGGTGAGGGGAACCCAGCAGGCGTTCAGGAGCGGCATTGTTCTCCACATCGCTAAGCTGCTCGTCCTGCAGCACCTCGTCTGTATTCTCCCTCAGCAGGTCACCGGGGATCAACGAGGCGTTCGCCATGCTGCAGCAGGAAAGGATCCACAAACTGTATGCTACTAGACATCTAAAAACAAGACGTGTGCGCTGCAGAGATCGCACAGTTAGACTCTTACCCCATCTGTGCGGGAGTGAGTCGAGTGTGATGCTGTGGCGTCGTGGTGCTGGCACTGATGGTTAGCGTGCCATCTGTACTGGCTCGCTCCCAGTCGTACGGGTCATTTTCCACAACATTGTAGGTTTTCATGCTGTTGTCGAACACGGACATCAGCAGCTGCAAGGACATACAAAGACATGATCTACCTTTTTGTCTGAGTTTCTGATTTAGTAAGAAATCCATTGAGAAGATGTTAACCTGGTAGTCTGGCTTGGTGTAGTAGTCAAGGCTGGAAATGTGTTCCAAGAACACGCCAAACTCTGCCGGCAGATGTTTGAGCATCAGACGATGGTCATATGTCTCCTTCAGCTTCCCCACGTGTTCCTGAGAATCATTTTTAAAATTATTATTCCTAATTCAAGTTAGAGGAGCTTTAGATTTGATAATAGCCTCACTTTGTCCTTTATTTTCCTCCATGGCAGCTGTCCAACCAGGAACTCCACTAACATGTAGAATAGAGACCACAGGTCATCGTGGCGACCCATCTCCTGCAGAATGAAATAAAAATGCTCACAATGTTTGTTCTTATTATGTTAAAATAAAATCAAAAGAGAAGAGGGAAAATATACTCTCACATATAGTTTCTAGTGCGTTAATCAACTGCATATATATATATATATATATATATATATATATATATATATCCCAGATTCATAAGGTGAAACATGGTAGTGGCAGCATCATAAAATGGGATAGTTTTATTAGCAGGCACAGGTTGAAAAGAATCTAATGAAAGAAAGTTCTGAAAGAAAACTCTTTAAGATGAGTCTCGTAATTTTGGATCTTTCCTATTTGGCTGTAAAAATACCAACATAGGATTAAGGTCACTTGGCAGAATAAAATAAAAAGAAGACATATTTTTATTGTTGTTTTAATACTAAGTTGAACTTACAAGAACATATGCAGTTAGATAATAACAGAGGAAAATGATAAAAAAAAAACTGATAACATTTTATGATCAATAAAGAAGAAAGGACACTGAGGTTAAAATGTTGTATACATGATGTACTCTAGATAAGATTTATTTACAAATCATTATTGCTCTTTTAGCATATAAATATAAATATGTGCACTGGATTGAATATGCATGTTAAATCTGTTTGGTATGAATGTGGCAGTTTAAGTGTTTCTTCAAATATCTTTTTTTCAATGTATTTAAAATTTTTAAACTTAACTTTTGTGTCAAACCTTTGATCTTTTTCCTTGAATTCCATTTAGACTTTATTCTATAATAACACCGAAAAAACAACCACCTTTTTTTTTTTTGTTGGTACTTTTTAGTCAAAAAAATCCAGAGAGACTTTAATATACCAGGAATGCCTTCCTAAATACCAAGGAGTGTTTTGCCACCACCTAGTGGTAAAAGTAAAAACTACATCCGTTGATGACAGCAAACCCCCTGGATTCTGGCTACTAAATGCTCTAATCTGATCAATTCATAAATAAAACCTCCATACCAGCTTTCTTATTTCATATATGACAAAAAAATTATGTGAAAAATATTCTGAAAGCATGTCAGAAACTAAATGCAAATCAGTAATAACACAATTAATGAACAATGTATATGACTTTGGTATAGCTAAACAAATTAAACCCCATTATTTATATTTCAAACATGTAACAATGAACTAAATAATCATGTTAAATGATTGTTAATGTTTCATCATATAATTACTTCAAGTAATACGCTAGTTTTCTTTTTTATTATTATTACATGGGGATAACAGTCCCTGGAACCAGACTGCAGAGATTCACTGTACGTGGAACACTGTCACTTAATAAGTAATAAAACAAGAAGACTGATTGTTTAAAACCATACATTGCATTTCAGTTTCCAAACTTAATTTCTAATTTGAAGGATAGGGATAGCTGTATTAAACTCCACTGTTTTTGAAAAAACAACCAAGTTTTAAAGACATGTTTGAGTAAAAGAAGCATCAATAAAATAATCAAAGCTTAGATTGGACAACAGTTTATGTCCCTTAAATGCCTTATGTTGCGAATTGGCCTCATTTCTAAATTTAAATTTAGTGTAGGTGCAATATTTACATCAGATATCTCAAATTAATTTAGCAAAAGCATAACATGCTTTTAATAAGGGAGATTTTGTAACAGTTGGTGAATACAAGAACCGAACAACTTAATTTATGTGTACCGCTTTGTGTTGGTCAATTTTGATTTAATCCAAGGAGGTTTCTGGTTGAAGATGTGAAGTTAAAGCAGTGTGAACAGTTCTGAAATGCACATCACTGGGTAGCATTTAGAAATCATACTGACCTTGTTCTTGTGTGCGTTAACAGAGGCATAACGAACTGTTCCCCTGAACCCTGCGACTGGACGAGGCTAAAAACAACAAAACAATGTGATTTGGCTTATTTATCATGTGATTAAAGACATGTCTACTGAAACATTAACACCTTGCTTGAGCTATTTTTAGGTTAAAAAAAAGCACAATTTTAATTTTCAACACAGATTTTGATACATTGACTGCGAAAATAAAGACAGATTTTAATAATATTTTCCATACACGTTATTTGGTCAAATCTAGGGAATAATCTGTGGTCAACATGAAGCCAAAAACCTTCCAGTGAAAAAACAACATTTAGGATGAATGTTTGAGGGGAGGGTTGGGTGGTCACCATTGAAACTGATACAGAAACTTGATCTACAGCTGTATGATCAATAAGATGTGAAAGAGACGATGCTACTTACGGGGCGGACCTCCTGACAGGAATTGGTGAACTGACGCGCCAGACCAAAGTCTAGCATGTAGCAGGTCCGACAAGTACTGGGAAAACGACCCATGGCAAAATTGGACTGAAGTGGAAAGAAGGATGGACATGAGGAGATAAAAAAATTAAAGAATAGATTTGGTGATTATCATGATCTGCTGCTCTGGGTTTTTGGTTCTATTCAAGTTTTCATTTAAGGTTTCCAGTTATGCTTCGATCTCTGTTTGCTGTTAAGATTTATATCACTTTTGGAATTGCTCCTTAATTTTACTATTCCTTTTTATGGTTTTCAGTTAACTCCTATTCAGCTTTCTATAATCTTTGCTTTATTTATTAAACATTTATCATTTACAATTATCCTTTTGTTATGTTTTCCATGGCATCATAGTTAGCTGAAGTTATCTCCAGTTCCTTCAGCTATCCTTCACTTTCCTCTTGGTCATTCTTTATTTTCTATTAATTAGTTTAATTCCCCCATTAGCTTTATTTAAGTTCTTTCCTCGTTATATTAAAGCACTGTTTTATTCCCTAGTTACTCTCTGTTGCCCCTCTCCTTCCCCCCTACACTGCAGAAACAATCTAGAAACTAGAAATAAGTTAAATTATGTGTATTAACCTTTAATATAAGTAGGAAAATTTATTGATTTGCCAATGGAATGAGTATTTCTATTCTTAAAATAAGGTAATTAGATAATATGCACTTGAAATAAGACAATGTAACTAATTTTTCTTATTTTAAATGTATATTGTCTTGTTCCATTGGCAAAGTCTCTTACTTACCTCCTCAATTCAAGAAAAAATGCACATATTTTAATAAAAATATTACTTATTAAGATTTCATTTTTTTCCTGCTCCCAAGTAGTTGATTACACCATTCATTGTTCTGTCTGCCATATATACTCCTCTGCAGTTAAGGACTCATTTTGCTTGATGCGCTGACATTCCTTGCTGAAAATAAGACGTCCGTCAAAGCGTCTTCAGCATCTATACTCTGTGTGTCTTTCCCCCTGTTCTGGCCAGCTTCAGGAGGGGCGGGTTCAGCACAAACAGCTGACACCACACAACACGAGGAATTAGAAAACACAGCCGTTTGCTACTTTATCAAAGCCTTTCCATGCCATTCGAGAGCCACAGTCATTTCTTTCCTGGAGTTTTTCCACAATTTGTTGATAGTGGTAATATTTATGGGTCAGGATGTCTCTAAGTGTTTATATTTGCAAACCTTTGCCAGCAGGAGCTGCTGCTCGCTCGTCGTGTTTTCAGCCTGGATCCGTCCGCATAGTTACAAATTTTACTAGGTGTTCCGTCTGAAAAGAATTTCCTTAAGGAGTCCACACAGAGGGACGTGGATGCCCAAAAAGACATAATTTAGATGCATGGACCGGTAGGACACATTAAGCATAAACCAAGCTTAACTCATTGCTGGATTCTCATAATTCCCTCCTGAAGTTTTTTGTTACCTTCTGTTCTGGTTCCTGTGTTCCCTGGTTTGTTATTTCTGGATTTATGCTTCATCATTAAATCTGCAAAGAAACATCTCTGCCTCCGTCTCTGCATTTGGGTCCTCTTCAAACCCCCACTCTACTTGACAGTGACACGGTTCTGTAATTCTTATTCCTATCCATACAAATCTATGGCAGCAGTTCACAGGGTAAACAACATTTACATTCTGTAGAAAATTAGCAGTGAGTAATGAAAAAAAAAGAAAAACATCCAGGAAAAATATTCCTTTGAGCACACTGCATGTCACACAGTTTACATACCAAGATTATAAGGAAAGAAAACTAGATTTAAGTAAAAACTGTGCCACATGGTCTTTGCAACATACTGGTTTGATGTCCCGATGCAAGAATCCAACAGAGTGGATGCTCTCTATGGCCTCCAGGATCTGCCGCCCAAGGCGCAGGGTCGTACTGATGCTGAACGTCCCCCGAGGCATGCTTCTCCTCAAGTCTGCCAGGTTTCGACCCTAGAAAAATAAAAAATAAAAAAAGCACCTCATATCTGTTAGCCAAAACATCAGATTAAGCTACTGGCTGCTATAGATGAGTGGACAGAAGGAAAACTTCACGGTATTTAGTGCAGTAATGGCATGGGTCCATTGGACATTTAAATTAAAACAACGACTCAAAATCAGAATACTAAAAGGCTCAAAGAGAAAACGTTTAGGACTGCGAGAAATCCTTACGTCTGCAGTTTGTGGGTTAGTAAATAAATTATTCAAAAGAAGCTGCATTTTAAGACTTTTCTGAAATATTTATCTGGTTTAACGTCTGTAAACAACTCCCAGAGGTGAGTAACATGCTGGGGGGGGGGATGCATGACCCGTCTCAGGTGTCAGAACAAAGTCAAACCAAGATCATCACAAAGAGGCGCGTTAAAACAGATTCAAATTAGGAGAAATTGCAATTGATTTTGCTTTGTTTTTTTGTTTTTTTTACATAAAACTAAAATTAGTGATGAGCAAATATATATCTATATATATATATATATATATCTATATATATAGATATGTATATAGATGGTGTGTGGAATAGCTGACTGTGTGCTAATTCCTCCAGAAGACTGACCTGAAGCTCCATCACCACGTAGTTGAATCGGTCGTTGCGGCCACATCCAACGAAGCGACAGACGTGATCTTTACCTGAGAAAACCAAACTGTTTCAGAAAAGGTTTGCAAGTAGGACAATCACTAGTCTGTCTGTTCTCAATGGATTTTTTTCTTTATTTGGGCAGTATGGTTCACCACCCTGGGCGAGATTGTTTCAGGAAGATACATGAGATTTAAAAGAGGAAAAGCTGTAACCCTTGCCAATGTCTGTCCCAATAAGGTGATAAGTCAGCTTATTGTTCAAAAAATTCTACCATCACTATATAGAGATTATTGATAACTCAATCTCTGATTTATGTCGATTTAATTCTAATTTTTTTCAAAAAATAGCATTTTTCTTGCTTATTGGCATGAGGATTCCCTTAAATTGAGAAAACAAAATCCACATATAGTTTGGTCAAACCCAAACTAAATGTTTCCACTGCCATACCAGACAGTTTTTAAATACATGTGCTTACTTTTGACCTGTAGTTTCTTAAAAAAAACTAGTTAATTCAATAGACTGGGATTGCAGGGAAAAAAGGGGGCCTGGCCAGGGAGGCATCCATGCTAGAACCAGCCTTGTCCAAAGGTTTGCTTCTCCCCCTCCTGCATTACTGAGGATCCCTGCTTTCCGTCACCAGCATGCCTTTAAATGTACAGAATAAAACCCGCACCAGCAGCTCAACGTGAACATAAAGCAAAAATGCTTTATGTCGGTTAAAAGTATGTGTCCTCTGATGTCAGAGGACACTGCTGCACTGACAGAACCACAGAGCCGTCCAAACATAAATAGCTACAGGACCTTTTGAATAAAGAAAAGGACAATTTTGTTATCGAATTTTCATTTAAGTAACAATAAACTGGACTTATTGCATCGTGTGGCTCTTTAGCTGAGTGTAGAACGACCAAAAGCCTTCTGATGAAGACTCTAGGTCAATGTTTACTCTTGACAGCTGTGCGGATCAGCAATGTTGGGGGGGATTAGAGTTCAGCTCCTCTCAAGTTACATGTAAGCTCCCTTAGGAGGCAAGTGAATCACAGAGCTGCAGGTCAAGGCCATTAGACAGCAAACATGATCCCAGCTCATTGATTTTCCTCTCAGATGGGTAAAAGAAAGACAACATGGTGGTTAAAAAGCAAGAAAAGAACGTTTTGGATACAGAAACATGCATCTGATAGATTTTAAAGGTAGGCTAACTGTCAGGAACAGAGCCGTCGAGTCATCCCAGGGTTCTCTACTGCAAATGTTTTTTCCTGCGCTTTTAGACTCGAGTTTTGCAGAAATGATTCCCGTCTTCAGAATATTTTCTGAATTAGTAATGACACAATAGGTCACTGTGTTGCTGCAGGTCAATCAGTTCCTGTAACTGAACCCACTGAGCCCATTTAGACTCACCCTGGAGCTTCTTCAGGACGGCGACCTCCATTTTTAACACTTGTTTTGGCTGCTGGGCTGACTCCACTTTCAGCGCCACGCTGCCCCGTGTCAGCAGGTCCTGCGCCTCGTAGATCTCCCCAAAACCACCGCCACCGATCTTCTTTACCTGGGTGGGGTGGAGCAGACGATGGATAACATTTAAGAAAAGTAGGGTAATTACTTTATTTATGAGGAAAGACTGAGGATGATAGGGCAGTGAGTTCATAACATTCAGGGACATTCTTTTGATTTTCTGAAGATTTTAGGTCAGGAATGTCAAAATCTGAATAATACAAATGATATGTGCAAAAACATCCAACCAGCCATACATTTTCTGTCCCAGCTGGGGTCGCAGCTATCTCCAGCTGTCTACAGGCGAGGGGCGGGGTACACCCAGGACAGATTGCCAGTCTATCACAGCGTAACACTTAGACAAACAGGACAAGCAACCATTCACACACTCACTCACACTTTAGGAGAATTTAGAGAAGCCAATTAAAGGGGAACGCTGTTTTTTTTTTTTACATTGGGCCCTTGATTTTACGTTATTCCATCATGTTCTACTCACCCATATGAGTTTTGTGTCATTTGGAGCCGTTCTGAAGATATTCCGTTAGGTTATATCCAAGTAACGTCTTCCTTTGAGCAACGACTTGAAGGCACAAACTAAACTGTTCATAATTTATTCTTTATGGTACGCCAGCATTCATAACCTGTAGGCCAATCACTGTCCCCCAGACATCCGCCGTTATATTTTTTATATTTATATTTTTTTAAACAAAGTGGCGTGTGTATGACGTCATCCACACGCGCTGGCTACCGTTCATTCTTCCTGTCCGCTGAACTGCTACTAGTTTTCCTCACATGCCTGGAAGATGTCTAGTGCTGCTACCACAGATGATCTCGCTCTCCAAATGGAATTGAATGATTCAGATTAGCTAGAATGAATCGAAGGGGTAGAGTCAGGGATGGGAATGAAAACCGGTTCCTGTTCAGAACCGGTTCCGTATTTTCCGATTCCATGGCATCGTTTGGCAGCTCGCTGAACGATTCTTTTTTCGATTCCCGCAGCACCAGAGCCTAAATTGCCGGCTCTGGGGAGCACGACTTACGTCACGTTTTTTACGCAAGTTACGCACACGGCGTTCAGTAAGCAAGTACGACGTGACTAGGCAAAAAAGGAAAGCAAAAAAAGACAGCCTTGGAAGAACTATTCGAGAAGGATAAAGACAACGAGCTGCGGTCACTGTGTGAATCAAAGCCCCGTCTTTCCTTAGCCCAGAGGGTAGAACAGGAAATCCAGCTCTATAAAAGCTTGCCCTCCATCCCCTGCAGGGATAGCGCCACACTGTGGTGGTGGAACAAGCAAGATACGCTGCCCTTGCTATCTGGACTGGCTGAAAACTACCTCTGTGTGCAGGCTTCCTCCACCCCATCTGAGAGGGTGTTCTCCACGGCTGGAGACACCTTAAGCGCTGAAAGATCCCGTATCCTTCCAGAAAAAGCAGATATGCTCATCTTTCTGCAAAAGAACTGTTAATTTTCCCTACTACTGTTTTATAATTAGTATTTTTTGTTATTTAAAATAGGTTATTATCCCATCATTTGTTATTAGACATTGTTGGTTATTAAGTTTGTTCTTGTATTCATTTTTCATTTAAACACAGATGTTACTCCAGTTTCACATTTCCTGTGGACATCTTGATCTTGTTGAGTTTGTAAGATTGTGCAATAGTTAAGTAAACAAAGTCTATGCTGATAATCAAACTGTTTGTTCTCCTTTTTTCCCCAAATTGGAATCGAAAAAAGAATCGATAAAGAATCGAATCGTTTCATAGAATTGAAAAGGGAATCGGAATCGTGAAAATTTTTTCAATTCCCAACCCTAGGTAGAGTGTAGCTGCCTGGTGTAATGCACATTGGTTAAATAAAGTTTTTTTATTGAAAAAAAAAAAAAAAACTCCCGTCCGACGCGCGGATGACATCATACACGCGCCGCTTTGTTTTTAAAAGATAAAAATATAAAAAATCTAACTGCAGATGTCTTGGGGACAGTGTTTCACCTACATGTTCTGAATGCTGGCGTACCATAAAGAATAAATTGTTAACAGTTTAGTTTGTGCCTTCAAGTCGTTGCCCATAGGAAGACGTTACTTGGATATAACCTAACGGAATATCTTCAGAAGGGCTCCAAATGACACAAAACTCATATGGGTGAGTAGAACATGATGTAATAACGTAAAATCAAGGGCCCAATGTAAAAAAAAAACGAAAATTCCCCTTTAACCTAAGAGTCATGTTTTTGGACAATGGGAGGAAGTCGGAGTACCTGGAGAGAACCACAGTATGCATGGGGAGAACATGCTAACTCTATGCAGAAAGACCCCAGCCCAGGAATTGAACCCAGAACCTTCTTGCTGCAAGGCAGCAGTGCTGGGCATAATGACTTTTGGTGCCTTTTTTATTCATTTATCAAATTTTGCCTGCAAAACTGATTTTAGTCTCACATTTTGACACATTACAGACAACTGTCAGATAATTCCAATGTTGTTATGTAAATGGAAATTTACAAAATATTAACCTTCTTATTACCATGTTGTCAGCAGGAGTTCCCTAGTAAATACCCTGAAGTTTATAGTCTAAACATGACCGAAGGTTAAAGAAAGGTCAAAACATTTGGAAACACTTATTTAAAAAAAAAGGGATCACAAAAAATATTCTCTCAGTATTGAAAAGTGAACAGACTTTATGGGATCATAACAGTAAATGTTTGGCGTCGTTCATTAACTCCTCTATCTTTCAGCACTCAGACCTCATTCCCCCCTAAGCTCTTCTTGTCCTTTACTGTCCTCCAACCTCAGTTCTGGTGTCGCTGAATTAGCTGCAGAATCCTTACATAACTCAGCTGCTGAGAAGACATTAAGCGATGCCAGGCTGCCAGTTTGCAATAACTGCATCACATGGCACAGAATGGGGCCCCTGGTAGCAGGAGACATGGGCCTATTGGGGACTTCTCTCTATAGGACATGGCACATCCTCAAATAGTATCACAGGCTATTTAAAGAGTCCTCAAACTGCAGCATAACCTGGACAAAAAGGTAAAACCTGGAACTGTAGAAGTTTTAGGTAAGAAGAAAGAAAACCTTTTTTTTTTTTTAGACAAAGATCCATTGTTGTAGGATAAGGGTTGACTTGAGGCAAGCGGGGATGGGGCTGGACAAACACGCTGCCTATTGTAGCAGGAAAACAAGCCACTTACCACTTTCCATCTTTCCTTGACCAGGGAGAGGCCGCTCAGGATGTCAGCTTGCTCTGCTCCTCCGCTCATCCCGTCTGTGGAATGGGGACGCTGCCCCCACTGCTTCCCTTTGACCAGGAGCCTCACACTGGGCCGGGCATTTGGAACCTGATGGACAGTCCTAGAAGGATTGAGGAGAAGCAGACACACATCAGGGACAGATTAAAAAAAAAAGATAGTGGCCAAAATGTGCTTAAGCTGATAACACACCCGCAAAAATCATGAAAGACAAAACAGAACTAAAGTCTCCCTGAGTTTTCTTATCCTCAACCATCGCAGCAGCAGCTGCAACAACTGTTCTGCCAGCAGCTGTCTTTCTGGACAAACTCCACAGCAAAAGCCTTACATCTTAAATTACAAATAACATTTCATACCAGGATACGTTTTCTGCAGTGGTCTTTATGGTGGAACAGCAGCAACTAGCTTAAAATTCAATTAAGATTTGTTTCTGCAACACTTTATATCAATGTGTCATTTTTTAGCAGTAGCTTGGTTCCAGGGACCAAAACAGCAAGTTACATTAGAAAAATCAATATTAGTCATTGAGGTAATATTAGGAACAGATAAAAGTTGACTTTTCTTTATTATGATGAAAATCATAATTGGTATTGAAATGCATTTAAAACATGGTTTAGTATATTGTCATTACTCGGTGTTATTTGTACTTTATCACATGTTTACTAAAAACTTTGAGGCCTCATTAAGCACTTAGTAAAACAGTTTCTTAGCTGTCGTTAAATCTTTGAGGCTTTGGAGCAGGTCAAGTTCATTCTCAGTTTATTTTATTTTATTTTATTTTTTCCAGTCTTATGAGATTCTTTATAGATTTTCATATAATGAATGTATAATTATAATAATATATTTGAACTTTATTGATCTCATATTGGAGAAATGTATCTCTGTATTTAACCCATCCGCTTGGAGAGCAGTGGGCTGCCCTTTTGGGGCGCCCGGGGAGCAGTGTGGGGTTAAGGGTCTTGCTCAGGGACCCAGAGTGGCAGTCTGTGGGACTGGGGCTTGAACTCAGAACCTCAGGATTCTGAGCTCTATGCCCTAACCACTAAGCCGCCACAAAATCCAGTCGAATTTTGGTTCAGAAAATGTAAGACCTGCGTATGCCTTAGTAAAAACCAGTCCAGGTTAGGTTGTCTCCATCCATCCTCCCCTCAACGTTGACCAGCTTCCCTGTGCCTACACAAGCACAGGGTTCCAAGAGCATGATGCTGCCTCCACCATACTTCACCAAGGATAAGAACTGTGTAATCAGGGTGATTTGCAAGGTCAATTTTACCCTAACTTTAGGGTACCTAAATTTGCTGTAAACCTTTAACTATTTGTCTCTACATTGTGCTGGTGTTCTGTCAGATGGGCATACCCCATCAGACTAGTATACCCATAGTCAATACAGATGCACATCAGATTTGCATTTATCCCTTTAGTTTTCTATGAAAAATATTTTATTTCAACAGGCGTGTATCCCTTTAGTCATGTACAAAAAATGTTTAAGGTGAGATCGCTATATGCTTAAAAAAACATCAAAAAGTAAGTAATTAAATTGTTTTTTTGAACATGACTAAAGGGGTTCACGCCCCGTGAGGTAGTTTAAAGTTTAAAGTATATTTTTTGTACAAAACTAAAGGGATAAATGAGTATTGACTATGGGTATGCTGGTCTGACAGAATACCAGCTATTCAAATAAAGCTAGTGTTGCGCTGATGTCATTTTTTGGCCCCGATACCTGACACCTGGCTGTGCAGTATCGGCCGATACCGATACCATCTGTTTGAAATTAATGTGTGTGTGTATATATGAAGAACTGCATACTACTTGGATGTCAAATCATTGCCATCATGGCTTTGTCAAGCCCCTGCCTACCTTTGAGAAGCAGGAAAAAGACTAATACAAAGTGAATCCAGTAGAACTTTTTATTGCCTACCTGGAATGGGTGACAATAGTTGCGTAAACTTTTGGCTCTATGGTATCAGTGCTCTATTTGGCGGTACTTGTCGATACCGATACCACCATTTTAGTCCTGTATCGGGTTCCTGCCTGATACTGGTATCGGTATCAGTGCAACACTACATAAAACCCCAGCAAAATTCACAAATCGATGGATGCAACATGAAAATTGTAGTTTTACAATTTCTCTCATATTGAAATAGCCAACAACTTTCCACCCTTGCACGGCTACATCAGTACATTTCCGTCATTTTTTCTTTTAAACATTTTGGGGCCACTTGTGACAATTTTACAAAATGTGATAAAAAAGAGATATCATTATTTCAAACCAGCCTGAAATGGTGCTTCCTTAGGAGAAAAAAAAAAGCATCTTTATTCCCACATTATACAACATCTGTGTCACAGATAAGCCTCCCTCTGCAGAGCACACGCTGGTGACTTCCTCCGCTATGCCTTCAAACACTCGGAGCAAGACTGACTTCGATTCATCATTCTGCACACATGGCGAGCGCAGGAGTCAGCGGTTATGCAACGAACTTCAAAACAGCACTTGGTTACAGGGCATGAGCCGAGTATTGAGGACGTAACATGCAAAGGCTGTTAGATGGAAGTAGGATGGGAAAACGGGAGAAGATGGGCAGAGTACATAAGTGGTTAATCTATGCTTTTGAGAAGAATCTTAAGGAGATAAACACATTCAGGAAGAGAAGAGCACAATTAAACATTAAATACTGGATGCCAGTGTATGAATTAAATGGATATTTTGCTTTTTTAAGGTAAAAAACTAATTATTCAACTCTTTTTTTTTTTATATTTCCTGCATATATGGCCAATTTTTAGGTAGCTAAGCATGTACACAGGGAAATTAGGATAAAATGGTGATCGAAAAACGTTAATAAACTAAACACATGATCATATTAATGTACATTTAAATCAACTATGCCACCTAAATCAAATTAATATTTCTTAAAATGTTTCTAATGAATACTGAAAAAAAATCAATGAAACCATATTAACACAAAAGTGACATTTTCTTAAAACTGTACTTCAAAATGATTTATTTCAGTTTTATAAACTTAGGCTGCCCAGTGGTTCTGTAGCTAAGTCTTTTACTAAAACTTTTACTTTTATTTTTGCATTTAGTTTGCAAACAGACTGCTAATACAATAATCACTGTAACTAAGGCTGTGTCCAAAATGTCCGCCCTAAACCCTAGATCCCTCAATCAATATATAGAGCTGGGATTGTATAGTGGGGGGATCAATAGTGAACTCAGTTAACTGACCATTCGGAAAGATGATCACTACTTTTTGCTCCCTGTTGGTCATGTAACTCCGCCTCCACCATGGGGTGCCTGAGCCATCTTTGTAATTTGTCGCCTACAGCATTGGTGTTGCTGCTGTGACAACAAATCCCACGATGCTTTGCGAGGACAGCTGTCCTTGCAAAGCTTTCTGGCATATATCTGCTTGTCTAGTGACCATGGATGGATCACTACCTTTCAAGGTGCATTGTGGGAAAATTTCGAGCCCACTACTTTTTCATCCACTGGACATTCGGACACTCATCTAAGATGGCGCAACCACTATATAGTTCCCTAGATAGTGTTTAGGGCGGACATTCGGTCAAAGCCTATGAGATTACTTAACCTCCCCGAGGTTTAAAGGAACAGTACACCCAAAACATGATTAGCCTTCATTCACCGCGGCAGACCAAACCAGATGAAAGTGCGCATTCAGCTCGGCAAAGAACTCATGCTCTTCCTCAACACTGAAGTCCTCAGAAATTTTTCTTTCGTTGTTTCTTTCTTTGCACAGGTAAACAGCACATTTCTTCTTCTACGCTTGCATTATCGGCAGAGCAGACGCTGAATGCGCACTTTCATCTGGTTTGGTCTGCCGCGGTTTCCGTAGACTCGTGAACGCGCTTTCAGGAAATCCTATACACTACTGTTTATGCTCTAAAAACATTCTAAATGACTTCGTTTCGAGTAAATTATGGACGCTACCCACTCAGGACACTTGGAATACATTGGACGAGCGGTATGGAGGAATATTGACACGTTTTTTGTGGACTTTTATGGACCTTTCTGTCTTGGGCACCGTAGACCTCCATTATTTGAATGTCAGCAGACAGCAAGAAGCCTCCCAGATCTCCAGATGCATTTGAGATATCAAAAAAGTACTCCAGAGTGTTGTTCAGCATGGGGGTGAGTAGAAAATGAAGGCTAATCATGTTTTGGGTGTACTGTTCCTTTAAGGCTGTTTGTCCTTCTGTGATGGTCTGACATGTTCAAATTTTATCCAATGAAAACTGGAACCAGTCCACTTTAAAACCTTTAGAGGGGAACAAATATTGATCCACAGATGGATTTTATAGTAATCTATTTAAAAAATGCAGCTCTTCATTTTCTAATCTATGATTAATGTCAATATTATTAACTTTGCTTTCTTCTTGTTCTTTGCTCTTTGTTTTATTGCAGTTTATAGTTTTTAAGAATTCTCACTAAATGAGCTTATTCTTGTTAGACAAAACCAGTTATTATTTCTTAATCTAAGTGAACTGTTTTTTACTAATTATTATATCAAAACTATTTACTTAATTTAATCAGATTTGATCCTATAGGCACACCCATTCTTCTTAAGTCAACTACTGTATATTCTGCTTAATTCTTATCTGACCGAGATCTCAGCTAGAGAAATAAAACAGACTGGGCTGTTTTAAACCTTGCAGTTTAGTTTTTTAAAGAGTTTATCTTTACTGCATGAATATGGAAGGGTGAAAGGGACAAAATAGACAAATGATTAAATATATCATGAAATAAATACATGTGAATGTTCAAATAATAAAAAATGGATTTGAAATAATTAAATGTCCATTAAAAAAGTAAATAGCTGTATGAAATTATTATTTTATTTTTGATACATTTGCACCAGTCGGAAAAAGTTAATATCAGAAAGCGTGTTTTTTTTTTCTCCTCATAACAGTTTTCTAAAAAAAAAAAAAAAAGATTTATTTAGCATTTGAAGTGAAGATGTAGCACAACTGTGAAAAAGTGCAGCCCTGTGAAAACTTTGTAAATGCACTATAGGATGGATGATGTGATAAAAAGGATAAAAGTTGGAAAGAGAAAGTCAATTGTCGACAAAAGAAAAACAAAAC